GCAAAAGGCAATATTATGGCGCTAATAACGAATTTATATTATCTGGTTTCGTATCGGTTTTGTTTTGTACGTTTCTTGATGTTCTTTCGGATAATTTCTTCCGCAGATAGCTTTTTCGGCGTTTTTTTCTGTACGATTCCTCGGTTTTACGTTTTATTTGTTGTCGACACCGTGAAATTTCAACGCGGAACGTAGTAATGACGATTTCGACGAAAACACCTTTAGCGCTTCTCTTTCCGACCGTATCGTGTTTTTTTTTGTTAAAATTTTGTTTTCAGGTACACCGCGATATCGCGAAAGCTGCGAGCCAAACTTAATTACTTTTTTTTAACTATTTTTTTTACCGGAGTTAAAAAAGTGATATTACTTATTTGTATCGGTTATTAAAACTGGAGATAAAAATAAAACTAGTTTAACAAAATATCACAGTTTACCTGACTATACTTTGAAATCTCTATACCAGTGATGTGAAAGTTATGGATTCCGGTGGTTCATTTGATTTCATTTTTATATTTTGTAGTAAATAAAATTTTTATTTCCAAGGTTTTTTTAAATCAGCGTTTAAAATAAATAAAAAGCATTTGATTAGAATCACTGATTTAATTCGGTTTCCCTCTAGGTTTCTTTATCAACTGTAATTATCAGCGCTATAACTCAATTTAGTTGCTATCTAAAAGCTCTCATCTTTTTTGTTTCAAAATATGATGCACAACTATGTTTTGTTTTGTAATTATGTTTTTGTTATACTCTGCTATGTTGAGCAAAATCGCTTTAACTGCAATTGAAATACAAGTCTCATTAAAAAGATAAGGTTATTTCCAACTAAGTTCAACAAAATGAGGAGAAAAAACACCACATCTTGCTTTATTTAGGAAATTATAACGAAATATAGTTTCACCTCAAGATATCAAGATTTTTTTCACAGGGTATATCCAGAAAATCGACAATGGAAATCTTTCAAGTTAAATATCTCGGAAACTATGCATTTTCGAAACACAGTTTAAATGAGGCGAATACCGGGTGCGTCTCAAAAGTGGCTCACCCCCTATAACTTTTTTATTTTTTCAGATGAAACAACGAGATTTGGTATATTAGTATGACATAAATTGGGATTGATTGACGTATTCAATTATTTTCGGTCACTTCCGGTTTAACTTTTGATTTTTAAGTGGTACCCTGGGTATTTTTTTACTCTATTCGATAAAAAATGACACTCTGAAATATGTCAATTTTTGACAGTCACTCAACAACAAATTGTATTTTAAATTTCAATCTAGAGTGCCATGGCTGTTTTAAAAACACTAGTTTTTAATCAAGGAGTCTTGGAAAAATAAATTTGATCGTCTAAATGTTTTTAGTATATTGTCCTGATCGGTTAAAAGATGCCCAAATCGTATTTTTAATCATATCTCAATTTTTTCAAATGGAACAAGACTGGTTCATTAGCATATTTGGAAAAAGCATTTTTTTACTAATAATTTGATACCACACACTTGGTATTTCCAGTAGCGATGGGAACTATCGAATGAATTAGACTATCGAATGGTTACGGAATGAATGATTTCAACTATTGTGTAGGGTAGACGTGGGGTTGACTCAATATTTTTTTTTATTTTACGTTGTGAATAAATGTTGGTAGTTATTAAAATTGTTATAAAAATATAAAATTCTAATAAAAATAGTTATAATATATATATAAGTTATAATAATTATTTATAACCATAAACATCCGATACGCTACTGAAGCAGGTAACTCAAATTGACGTATCTAAATTCTTTGACATCTAATCTTTGACAAGTAGTAAATAAAAGCGAAAATGCAAGAAAAAATATATAATTAGTTAATTTAAGTGAATTTCATAAATGATCGGTTTACTACACGTATGTATATTATATAATCACTTACTAGCGAAAAGTTGTTCCATTATTTCACTCGATTTTTGACGAGATCTACCGCACGCTACACAACCAACTATTTTAGAGTATTTTTCGATAAATCGCGATAGTGTCACTGTTAATTTAAGTTCTGCCACAATTTCCATCTAGATTTACTACCTTTATACAACTATCAGTAGTAGAATAAATAATAAATAACATAAAATAAGCTCCGTAAAGACTGACAAATCCACTAAATTTCAAATCAAATTCAAATGTGTTAAATGAATCGTCAAACAGAACTGTCAAGGATCCCCACCCTAGAGTCCTTTTTCCCCCCACCATGCATGAATACATGGATAGCATTATGCTCCTTCCTTAGTCTTCTTATTCAAAGTATATAACGTATAAAGCTCTACTAGCTCTATTCGTAGAGGCTTCACTGGTCGTTTAGCTACTTACCGTTTCCGAGGGGTAACATCTTATTTTTATTTAGGGTCAGTTGGGGTAATCGTAAATAGGGGCAATTGTAAACAAGTCCAATAACTTTTGAATTTGACGGGTAGAGGATAAGATGACTGGCTACACTGGTATACATCTTTGATTTGTATTGATTTGATTTTATAAGTTTCTAGTACTATTTGCTTATGGCGCAAGAACATTTTATTGGAGAGCTGCTTTAAAACTTGTAAAACATTTTATACCTTAGTAAAAGTTTGTTTAAAAATTTCAGTTTGTAAATAAGGTAGGATAATCTATATACGTAGCAGTTTTATTTACTGTTATATTGGTAAAGTGCATGTTACAATTTGGGGTTAGCTTTTACGAGAAATGAAGTTCAGAGGTGTTCAGGTGTTTACAAATGGCCCAGTAAAATACGAGGCGGGGCAATTTTATACTTGATTTTGGGGCCGTATACTAGGGGCGCCACGACGGCAACTAAAATATTTAAAAGCAGTAATCTAAACAAACAGTAACGAATGACCAGATCAATAATTAATCGGTACTATCAATTTCCACATTAAAATATTACGAATTACCACACCACATAGTGAAGAATATCCGACTAAACATTATAAACACTACTATATCCTAGACGTATCCTATTATAGTTTACTGAAATTATGCTCAAAAAATCCTTTGCACGAAAGCTTTGGGATAGTTTTAATTTCTTTCATTCTGTATGCTTTTTGGGTGCTCTATTTGAAACTGGGATTTGTGAATTCATTTTCGTGGAAAAATGTTAAATAAAATAAAATAAAAAAATATAAATCTGATTTGTTCGTGGTATTTTTACTTATAATTCAAAAGCTTTCAACTTTTTGTAAATATCTTTTCTTTCTATAATTCTTCTTTTTATAAATTTTCTCTAAACAAACTGTTTTGGGTCAAGAGCCAGCAAAATTGACAGTTTTAGCAAAAGTTTTAGACTGACTGCTCATAATCGCACTTTTTCTCTACCCTTTATTTTTATTAATGGCTGATGTACCCTAAAATTATATGAGGTAAATATTCATTCACAAGAAGCTTAAGAGGATCTCGATATCCTTATTATCAAAAAAAAACTTAAAAGTTTGCCTCATTAGTTAAATTAATTTATTAACAGTAGTGGGAAAATATATCAATCTTTTGGTGATTTTGATTTTCCCAATTGAATAATGTAATAATACACGGAAAATGGTAGCAGAATCGTAGAATTTTCTCATTAGGGCAAGACAAAGGAATGCATCTCAAACACTGGCTGAAATTCATTTTGCAGCCGACAAATCTATATCTAATCATAAACTGATTCTGAACGAAATAATTGATTATGAAAAAGAAAAGAAAATTTTCTTAAAGTCATATAGAGAAATAATGCAACTGCTTGAAACTAAATACTAATATTTTCAAAGATCACTTATACCAGAACGAGACTGCCGAAGTTGGAATTCTATTTCTCATAACTCTATATACCGGGTGCCTCTCAAAAGTGGCTCACCCCTATAACTTGTTTATTTTTACAGAAAAAAAAAGAAATTTGATATGTTAGTGTACGACATAAAGTAGGATTAATTGACTATTCAATTGTTTTTGGCCACTTCTTGTTTCACCGGAAATTACTACAACTTTTGATTTTTAAATAGCACCCTCGGTATATTTCTACTTTATGACATATGTCATCTTTTGATATTTTCGATTAAAAATACGATTTTAGCATCTTTTGGACCGGCCAGGAAAGACACTAAAAACATTAGACGATCAAATCCATTTTTCCAAGGCTCCTTGTTTAAAAATTAGTGTTTTTAACAGAGCCATGGCACTCTAGATTGAAATTAAAATATAATGTTTTTTGAGCGAAAATGTCAAAAGTTGACATGATATGTCATTCTACTCAGAGTGTCATTTTCTATCGAATAAAGTAGAAAAATACCGAGGTGCCATTTAAAAATCAAAAGTTTTAGTCATTTCCGGCGAAACAGGAAGTGGCCAAATACTCGTAGTCAATAAATCCTAATTTATGTCATATACTAACATACCAAATCTCGTTTTTTATGTAAAAAAAAATAAAAAACTTATAGGGGTGAGTCAATTTCGAGACGCACCCGGTATACAAAAAACAACAACCGCAGACTAAGATTGAAAGAAGAGAAGAATTTTGAAGTATCTTTAAGTGAAAATTTATTGTTAAAGTAGCATAAATATGTTTAGTTGTAGTTAAAGGATAGTATTGAAAAAAAAGAGAATTATCATAATTATAGGGGGGGGGGGCAGATAGGGTACTCGCCCGGTCTCAATCTCAATATTTGCCTTCCGCCGGTCCTGGTTATAAGATACGGGGTTATAATCGAACTTTTTGTAACTTGTTATTATTTTTTATGAGAAATACGAACAATGATTTTTATAGGAAGGAGGATAATATAGTCGTTTTCCGGAAAAATAGATGTTTTTGAAAAATATTGAACTTAATATTTGTTTGTACACTTTTGATCCCACAGTAATAAAGTACAGTCTTTAAAATACATTTTTTTATCTTTTATTTCCCCCATGGAGACAAAATATTTTTTTCTTATTTTGTCTCCGTGGGTTTGTCTCCCAGCTAGGTTTTAATAGAAATATATACTCATTGTTTGTGTATTGTTTTGCAGATATGGCCGAGTGCAGAGTGTTAAGTTACTGCCAAGGGTGCCCGAGGAGAAGGCGAGCGAGGTCTCGATGGCGTGCACGGTGGCGTTCATGGACATTAAAAGTGCGTCCAAGGCCCACAACGCCGAGCTCAAAATCGACGACCGTACTCTGAACACGGAGTACTACGAACCTGCTGCCATTCCGTCCGCGGCGACGGCCGCCTCCCCCCAGGGCACGCCCCCATCCTATTCTACCTCTCCGGGTACCAACAGGTTCCCCAACGGCCATGCGTAAGTACCATTATTTATTTCAACTCCCTTAAATAGTCTGATTAAATACTTGTTGGTAATCCAGCAAACCTACCTAATATACGATTTATTACATATGACTATTCTACCTCTTCGGCTACCCACAACGTAAGTACCGTTTATTCTAATCCCCTTAGATAGTCTGGGAAATATTTGGTACCCTAGCAAAGGTACCTAATATGTGAGATGTGAGTTTTATTATGTTATGTTGCTCTTTGCAGCATATTCTGAAAACTGTACCATAAAGGTGCGTACAGATCTGACGAGACGAGAGCCATCCATTTTTTGAGACGTCTACCACGAACCATGCAAACTGTGTATAGCATGCACTGATATCTCGCAGTCGAGCGAGCCTACCATGAACTCGTCCAGGCTGTGCCGCGAGATTTCTTCGATCGGCTGTCGAAAAACCGATAGAGGACGGGTAGTAGTACCACAGATTAGGTATACTATATGTATACAGATAAAAATCTTATCCCTAATTCGTGGTACGAAAATTGTTTTTTATGACGATGTGCAAACGAGTAAAATTTCCTGTGCGCAAAAATAAACTCGCGTAAAATAACAATAAACAGCGTAATAGAGAGATATCGCTAAACCGAATAGCGTGCATGGACGTTAACAAGGCCAGGTGTTATTTCCTTTACGTGAGGTGGTATTAACTCTCTCCATTTATAGTTATCGGAGCGGAAAGAATTCTGTTCGCGTCGCGTCCGCTATTTAAACTTAACCTAACTTTGAATTTAAAACTTTGAAATTGTTTTGAAAAACTTTGAAAAAGTTTTAATTCAAAAATTCGTATCCCCCACCCCACCGTTTTTGAGAAACTCAAAAAAATTGGATTCGATTTCCTGTCTGAACCGTAGGTCCCACAGAACATTTTATGTAACAAAAAGTGAAGAGAATTCTTTACATTTTCATCTTTATGTAACAAACCTTACTTTACTAACTAAAACCTACGGGGTCAAAGTTAAAGGGCGTCAAAGTCACTCAAAGGTAGCTTTTTCATTTTTCCTTGTGAAACCATTTTTTTACTGTCGCAAAGTTTGTAGAATTAAGGAGCATAAAAAACCTAATAACTTGATATGTAACTTCTTTTTTACGTTTCATTTTTTATGAGATAAAACGTTGCCAATGTCGCGGGCTGCTGCGCTTATTTCGAGGACGCAGCTGCTGCTCGGCCTTGTGTCCCTCCCTCTGGTTCGCATTCCAGCACTAACTAGTCAATCAGCTGACGTCTTTCGGCAATGTAGATGCGAGGGTTTTGACGTAGTAAGCAATTTTTTCGTGTGTGGAGTAAAAACTTTGTCCCGGTAGGTTTTACAGCTTTGCGTATTGCTAATGCTAACACCTCGCTAATTTTATTGATGATTTTTTTAAGAATGATCTGCTATTTTATGTTGCAGAATGTAGAATGTTTAGGAGGGGAGTGAATCACAGCGACCTTACAGATCTATTGTGTGTTCCCCTTTGTTACTCATCATACAGTCTCAGGGCTTTAACAAAAGCCAGTATCTGAGACGGCTCCACGGAGGCCAGCTCTCCATCCTCGACATCAGCCGTACCAAAATTCATGGCACGAATGGTCGTCGACTCGGCGCATTCAGTGATAAGGTGTTCTGGTGTTTCCCCATTTTCCTACAGAATCTGCATTCGCCGTTGTTTCTCAGCTTCAGCCTACTGAGCTGTTCGTTGAGGAGACAGTGTCCTGTTAGAAACCCCGTGACAATCCGAAAATTGTTTTTACTTAAATCAAGGAAAACCTTTGATTTTTCTCGGTCGTAGGTTCTGAGGAACTTTTTCGAGTGTCTTAGACCGTTGGAGGACGTTAGTGGAGTGTTCGCTCCTTTTCCAGCTAGATCATTTGCTTTTTCATTGCCTTCTATCCCTTGATGAGTAGGCACCCAGAGTAGGAGGACTTTATTTTATCTATTTTATGTTACATAGGCTTTGTTTTAACAATTTTCCATTTTCCAAACTCACTCTAATGTATGGCGACCTTGAAACTCACTGTTTTTCTCGAGGTTTTTCTATTACAACTCAATGAAAAAATAGATAATGTAGCTATGTATTTTTATTCTATTTGGATTTAAAACAATGTTTTTAATGTAAATATATCTAAACAATAAATCGACGCGACGTTGATCAACAAATTCTAAAAAAAACTTATTGAATGAATTGTGTACCGTCTAGACTTTTACTGCATTAGTAAGTTTTTGATTTAAAGTAGTTTAAAGTGAATAATTAAATCTTCTATTATTGTTTTGTCTGTAAATAAAAGACATTGTGAAAATTCAGCGTTCTGTATACATTTTAAAATAGTTCTATAGTTCTTGTAACTGTAGATTTTTGATTAATTTCGAGAAATATTATTACGGGTGCTAATTTCACGTCACAATTTCACATGAGACTGTATGATGAGTTATAACTCATAAAGGTGACACACAATTTTTTCCTTTTTCTGTTCCACAATTTGTTATGTTTCGAGATATTTTATCACCAAATAATGGCTCAAAATATATATTTTATTAATAAAATATGATATTTTATGTTTTTGAGCCATTATTTCGTGATAAAATATAAAAAAATTGTGGATAATATCATATACGATTTGAAGTTGAACTTAACCCTTTAATAACTTACAAACGAGTCGATTAAATGAAAATCCATATCAGACCTTTTTTGAAGACTGTTGAGTTTCCTAGAAGAAGATGTATTGATTTTTACAAAACGCTGATTTGTGATATATAAAAAAATAAAATTCCAAAGAAAAAAATGTTCCCCGTGTTATTTAAATGAGAAATAGAAAAATCACGATGAGACACCTCTTAATATTAATATTAAAAGCTCAAATTTTACCATAATTTTTTTTCGTCATCCTGGACGATATTTTCATGGGAACTAAAAAGATTTTTTTTTGGTGCACTCTACTGTCTATAGTTATAGCACTATAAGAGTTTTATAAAATGTTCTGATTGAATTATTGAGGTATATTACAAAAAAATGAGTGCTATTTCTAATTCTAACCAAACTTTGGTAGTGATAGAAGACCAAGACCAAGATCCCTTCGTCTTGGTCTTCTGCTTAATAAATAAGTAGTCTTGGTCAAGTAGGGTCCAGTCTAGGTCATGGTCTTGCTGCAAGACTATTGCAAATCTATCCAGAATTTTTAATAATCATCTTGTTTTATCAAAAAAGAGACAACTGAGTAAAATAGAGAAGTTGGTATATTAACTTAATAAATGAAAGTTTTTTCCGAACGTTCAAAAGGAGAGCATCTTTTTTTTAGAAATAGGATATTAAAGGTTTTGGAGTAACATAAACAAATAACAAAATATCGGGTGCGTCTCAAAAGTGGCTCACCCCTATAACTTTTTTATTATTTCAGATAAAGAAACGAGATTTGGTATGTTAGTATATGATATAAATTATTTTCCGTCACTTCCTGTTTCACCGGAAATGACTACAACTTTTGAATTTTAAATGGCACCCTCAGTATTTTTTTACTTTATTCGATAGACGATAGATTAAATGACTGAATAGAATGACAAATCATATGTCAACTTTTGACATTCTCGCTTAATAAAAAATCGTATTTTAAAATTCAATATAGAGTTCCATGGCTATGTTAAAAACAATAATTCTTAATCAAGGAGCCTTGGACAAATAGATTTGATCGTCTAATGTTTTTAGTGTCTTGTCCTGGCCAGTTAGAAAATGCTCAAATCGTTTTTTTAATCATATCTCAATTTTTTCAAATGGAACGAGGGTGGCTCATTAGCATATTTGGAAAAAGCATTTTTTTACGAATGATTTGATACCACACACTTGGTATTTCCAGTCAAATTTTCGTTACGAACCGCAAGTTACAATTTCAAATAAACCATGTGCGAAAATGTCAAAAGTTCGCATATGATATGTCATTCTATTCAGGGTGTTATTTTCTATCGAATAAAGTAAAAAAATACAGAGGGTGCCATTAAAAATCAAAAGTTGTAGTCATTTCCGGTGAAACAGGAAGCGACCAAAAACAATTGAATACGTCAATCAATCAAACATACCAAATCTCGTTTTTTTTTAACTGAAAAATAAAAAAGTTATAGGGGTGAGCCATTTTTGAGATGCACCCGGTATATTACCTACTGTATATTAAAATTCCATAACTGACTGGACTAGTTTGCATCTAAAGTACTGGCTACGAGAATATTGGGGCCAAAATTTCTTCAAAAATTTATATCAAGAGATTTCCCCTTTTTCCTCCATTTCTGTACGGACGTCCTATATACACCATAATTCCCCTTTTTTACCCCATTTTCCTTGTTCCCCAATCTCTTGCATCGTAAAGTTCGGACCCAGGTTCTGTTCTTTCTCCACCCTTTCTTTTTCTGACCGGTAGGGGACACGAAAATCGCATTTAGGGAATAACATAACAAATGATATATGGCTCCGAGGCAGGGTTGGGTTACTTACTATCACAATCTTTTTTTATCCTTTAATGCATTCGACATAAAAAAATGTTTTAGATAGATGGCCCTTTTGGATGTCCTATCGAAAGCTTGTCATTTGGAATTTTAAACTATTACTACCTACTATAGCATAGTATCGTGTGATGGAAAAAAAAAACGGTGTCAAAGACAGATGGGGAATGACAGTCTCAGACAGTCGATAATCATTTTTGGGAGGTGATCATCTCTAGTCGTTATTTGACATAAAACTTCAACAACATTAACGCTAATTATAAAAAAATTAAAAATAGGGTCAAACGTTTCCAGAAAACTTCCAAAAAAATGATTTTTTGCTTAAATTTTGAGAACCATTGGATCTTTTCTGTGTTTTCTTTCTTGTAAATTTAATCTACTACCTATGTTGCCATATTATCAACAAATTATGTTTTTAAACTAAAAAAAAATTCTACTACCCCCAAAATATGTATATTTGCACTCATTTAAGACTCACCCTGTATATAGCATTCTGGAATCGATGAAGAAAATTCTGGAATGTTGCAAAATCAGTTATCAGCGTGACATATAAATAAATCTGGCATTCTTTCACTAATTGGTATTTATAACATTATCGGACAAAATCACCAGAATTGCATGTTTCTTGCAACGAGTTGTGTCTGAAGGCGATTTATTTTCTTGCAAAACAGATTGCAACGGGCTTTGAAAATAAGCAATGTCCGTAGTTTAATACATTTTTATTTCTAAATAATACTATAAAAGGAATATTTATCTAGTACCCTTGTAGTACGAAAAATACAATTTTTTTCCTGGTGAAAGTGATTTACTTTTATCAGTGAAAAATATTAGTGATGGGAAAAACCGATTCATTTCAATAATCGAGTACTCGAGTATCAAGCTATTGCAATAACCGAGTGATCACTCGAGCGAAATATCACTCGTATTTAAAAATACGGTTTTCATTCGCATGTTGTAAGTACTCGTTAACGCCAAGCGCCAAGCAGTAAGTTGCGAGCGCAGGGCACATATTCTTTTGGTAATGAACGGTAAGTAGTAAGCGGCGAGCGATTCGCTTGATCGCTTGATTTAGTTTATTTCGGAGCATTGTCGATGTAGGTCGTAAAATTTTGTCCCTCAGATACGCAACGGATAAATATACCGGATGCGTCTCAAAAGTGGCTCACCCCTTTTTTATTTTTTCAGATAAAACAACGAGATTTGATATGTTAGTATATGACATAAATTAGGATTGATTGACATATTCAAATGTTTTCGGTCACTTCGGGTTTCACCGGAAATGATTACAATTAGTGATGGGATAACTACTCGATTATTGAAATAACCGACATCGCTCTATTATGAACAAGCGATGCAAGTGACGAGTACCAAGCGACGAACGCAAGCGATCCTAGAATGAAATAAATTGAAATCCGATTTTAATGTGACCTACTCGATAAAAAGCCGAGCGATTTTTCTACATACATTGCAGGTAGCAAATTTATACGACGCCGTATATACCGGGTGCGTCTCAAAAGTGGCTCACCCCTATTACTTTTTTATTTTTATAGATAAAAAAATGAGATTTGGTATGTTAGTATATGACATAAATTAGGATTGACTGACGTATTCAATTGTTTTCTGTCACTACCTGTTTCACCGGAAATGACTACAATTTTTGATTTTTAAATGGCACCCGCGGTATTTTTTTGACTTTATTCGATAGAAAATGACATTCTAAATAGAATGACGTATCATATGTCAACTTTTGAGATATTCAGTTAAAAACAAATTGTATTTTAAATTTCAATCTAGAGTGTCATGGCTGTGTTAAAAACACTAATTTTTAATTAAGGAGCCTTGGAAAAATCGATTTGATCGTCTAATGTTTTTAGTGTTTTGCCCTGGCCGGTTAAAAGATGCCCAAATCGTATTTTTGATCGTATCTCAATTTTTTTCAAATGGAACGAGGGTGGATCATTAGCATATTTCGAAAAAGAATTTTTTTACGAATAATTTGATACCACAAACTTGGTACTTCTAATTATAACTAATTTATGTCATATACTAACATACCAAATCTCATTTTTTTATCTAAAAAAATAAAAAAGTTATAGGGGTGAGCCACTTTGGTATATCGGCGTCGTAAAAATTTGCTACCTGCAATGTATGTAGAAAATTCGTTCGGCTTTTTATCGAGTACCTATGTCACATTAAAATCGGATTTCAATTTATTTCATTCTAGGATCGCTTGCGTTCGTCGCTTGGTACTCGTCACTTGCATCGCTCGTGCATAATCGAGCGATGTCGGTTATTTCAATAATCGAGTACTCGAGCGAATTTTCGCTCGAGTCACTAAAAATATAAAACACAAGAAGTTTTAAAGTTTAAACTTATTTCCTCGCTATTTCCTTTTAAAACTCGTACTGTTATTAAAAATTTGAAAAAAATCGATTTTTGAGCAAAAAAAAATTTTTCGATATGCGGTGCCGTTTAAAAAAATTTCCAAGCTTATAATTTCATTGAAAATTGAATGAGGAATTCAAAAAATAATAGTTTCATATTTTTTCGGTTATCGTAATATGGTTAAAAATTAAAATTAAGGATAAAACCTCGTTTTTTTTTCAAAAAACTACCATCATGCCCCAAAACATATCCGGTCGCTAGATCATTTGATTCACAAGAAACTGAGAATAACGATTTTTACTGATTTTTAGTATTTTTCGATTTATTCAGAAAGGGTTATAAAAATAAGATAGTAAGTAAAGATTTCAGTTAATGTCTCCTTTTTGCTGCCAGGGCAAATCTGGACGGGGCCTACTTTGTTTTGGACAACAGCACGATACAGGGTTTCGAACCGGTCACCCTTCCATCCACTAGTATCGCCTTACGTCGCTTAACTTCTTAGAAAGGGTTATAGATAAAATCTGAAACTTGTTGTATCGAAGTATTTTATAGGTACAAATATTTCCTGAAATTATGAGCTCGATTCCTTTCTGGGGCCGATTCGGTATTCTTATCGTCCCAGGGCTTTATTAAGAATGATAATCCCATAATAATTTTTTAAAATTTATATTCGACAATACCCTTTTTGTATATGAAGTTTGTACCCTATCTGGCGCCCCCTCCTTAACAGTTATTATAACTCTCTTTTTCCTTCACTCCTGTACTTTAACTACAAACTAAGCATATTTATGCTACTTTAACAATAAATTTTCACTTAAAGATACTTCAAAATTCTTCTCTTCGTTCAATTTTAGTCTGCGATTGTTGTTTTTTCTACACCGGTCTCGAAAGTGACTCACTCTTATAATTTTTTTAATTTTTTTAGATAAAAAAACGAGTTTTGGTATGTTAGTATATATTAGGTTCATAGACTTAGAATAAAATATAGACTGAGCATCTCATTCATAAATAGCTGGAAGATGCGGACAGACAACGTCTTGTTATTGTTGTGTTATTGTTTTTGGCTCTAACGAGTGCGACACGAGCGATAGATAGGCTGTCTCCGTCGTAACGGTCGTTTCCTGACGGCTCTGCCGCCCAACGCAACACTGTCTTTTGTTTCTTCAGTGCACCTGCACTCTCCGTATCATAGGCGGGTATTTTTTTTTTATTTTAATGAAGCTATAATTCAATTAAAAATATATCGTATTTAAACTTTTATATTATTAAGATTTAGGATAAAAAAAATAGTTTAATATAAAGCAAAGTTTAGGACTTAGAAAAAAATACGTCTTAGAGTCTAAAAACGATAAAAATAATAAAGTACGTGTTATAGAAGAAATTTTAATAATCGAAATTATTTAATTTTTGAAATTGATGATAAATTATTAATTTAATAAAATATTAATTTTAGTCAAACATTTACAACTCTAATATTAATCAAAACAGGATCTATTCTATAGATATAATAGAACAGAAAGAGAAAAAACTTTATAATTGTTTAATTTTTTTTTCCGGTAAAAGTGATGTCTTATTATGTAAATTAGAAAAAACAGGAATCTGTTCCATTAAAGCAAGCTTTTAGGAAGTGAATAAAATGAAAACTACATTTATTTAACTCGTTACTGTCTTTATTATAGAGTAAGTATAATAATGGTAATGGTGACTATACTTTATTCAATGGAAATATGCACCAAATTCAAACAAATATAAAAGGCATGAGTATAAACAGTATTACTACAGTAATATTGAACATTGGTTCAAAAATATTACATTAATATAATACAATATTACTGTAGGTATTACTGTCAACGTGCAAGCTTGTTTGAAGCTTGATGTATTTGTATGCGCTTGGTACATCTTGGCGTTGGAAAATGTATAGAAAATTATTAAGAAAAACTAGTACGTAATGGGGGATATCTTGATATACAGAGTGGTCGGAATTGTATTCAGGAAACTTTGGCAGCATAATCTGCAAATAAAATCAGTAAAAAAAATAGTATAAATTTATGTCCTAAAATGCTTCGTTTCAGAGATACAGAGTGTAGAAATTTCATTTTTATTTCGCTTTTTTCCAAATAATTTATGAAGAATGTATTGATTAATTCGTTTCCAAATATCTTGAGAACTATACTTGTGGCGAGTGTCAACAAGAGACCTTATTAAGTAAAAAACGTTGGAAATGTAAATTTTTCTCAGTAGTTTTATATAGATACAGACAAAAAGTATTACTCTTCAAATAACTTAAAAAATATGTAGGTGGCGCCCCCTATTAGTAAAAGTCAAATTGACATCTAAATCTAATTTTTCATGTCAAAAAACTCCCAAACGCCAATTTTCGTCCAAATATTGACGTCACTTCAGAAATTATTTGGAAAAAAATCGAAATAAAAATGAAACTTCTACACCCTGTATCTCCGAAACGAAGCATTTTAAAAACTTACAAGTTCATTTTTTTAGAAAGCCAATGCAACATTTCTGAGTTTCAAATAAAGATAAAAAACAGTAAAACATATAATAATAATATGTAAATTATTTTCTTGGATACATACATATATGGCAAATAATAACAGATTGTTTTATTAAAGATTTACGTTTTGGTTAATTCTAAAACTATCTTCAGATTATATGTGATATTACTTAAGTGATATTACATTATAAAAGAAAAAATGAAAATTATACCTTATAATCGAAAAAAAACGGCGTCAGCGATGGCTATGAAATGAAGATCGCTGTCATTTTATATGTAAAATTATATGGAGTATGTATCGATGGTTTTTTCCAAGCCAACTGGACGCCGTTTTTTTCGATCATACGGTATTACAAATTAATAATAGATTAACAGTCGAGAAAAAAAAAGAAAAAACTCTAGGTAAGTACTGGATAAATTTTAAAATGGCATATTTATTTTATCTTTGTTTAATATAAAAAAAACGAAATATCTACCTGGTTTACATAACCCTGTATAATTTGTGAAATAATAATGGACAAAAATGCAAGCGGTAAGAAAAATATTTACAAAAAATATGTACTTGTTTACATTTCTGGACCATTGTTCGTCATTTTTGTTATCATAATGGTGACCCTATCATAAAAACGTAGTTATTTCTATACCTGATGTGAAACTATAGGGAAAAAGTAATGTTTGTAAAATATTTTAGTCTTGAAAAAAAATAAGGAATGTTTGGTATTTTAAAATGTTTGGTAGCTTGTAATTTTTTCGACTTTCTCGATTGTTTATAGTTTATAATAAGCCTTAAAAATTGTTGTTTCATAATGGAATATCATTCTGGAATTCCTGTATGTTATTTTAGATTCTAAGGATGGTTTTAGAATAAAAAGAAACACATTTTTCATAAAAAAAAGCATTAAATTAACCAATGCCCAAGAAAATAATGTGTCTACTTCTTATGTACTTAATAATGTATCTACTCGTTATATTAATAACGAGGTTAGTAAGAACCTTTACGTAAATGATAAATATAAAAAATACAGATTTTCCAGGGTTTATAATTTACTAAATTATTATCTAAATAAGCGCCTTTCTACAACGCCACTGACGCCAAAATAGTAAATTTGACTTACCTGTGGAATGTTGTTCCAGGACTTAAATAGTCCAATTTCTTACAAATTTGGCACCGACGAACCATGTTTTATAGTTTTTAAATAAAAAGTAATCAAAATAAACACTAAACCGACACTATAAACTAAGAAAATCAAAAAAATAATAAACACTAAATAAATCATTACAAACTAAGAAAATCCAAAAAGTAAATAAAATAAACACTAAATAAATCACTACACACTAAGAAAATCGAATCCAAAAAAATACAAAATCAAAACATCCAATAAAAACAATAAAATAGCCATGGAGAAACTGTGACAACAAGGTTTTGCGACACGTGCTTTACTCTACTATGGCTCTACTACGAGAGAATAAAGAATGAACAGGCGACCCGGCGATTGATGGGTGTTGCCAAATTGTAAAGAATTTGTCATTTTAAATAGTCTCCGACTTATAATTTAGTAGTATAGGGACTATTTAATACATCTTTCTGCTATTAAACACTACTTTATTAAAATACAGTTTTAAGACGTGACAACATAGGCTGGAGGCGAAAGACTCAGACGGCCGAGGTCAGCTGCACCCAGGAGTAAACATGTTTACAAAAATTAATATTTGACCGCGCTTAAATGTAAATAGTGTAGTCTATATTTTATTCTAAGTCTATGATTAGGTTTGATTGACGTACTCAATGATTTTTAGTTTTTAGTCACTTCCTGTTTGACCGGAAATGACTTAAACTTTTGATTTTTAAATGCACCCTCGGTATATTTCTACTTTATTCCAAAAGAAAATGACATTCTGAGTAGAATGGCACATCATATGTCAACTTTTGACATTTTCGCTTAAAAAAATCGTATTTTAAATTTTAATCTATAGTGCCAGGGCTGTGTTAAAAATAAACAAATTATAGGGGGAGAAACTTCTGAGACGCACTCGGTATATAGAAGAAATAGAACTTCGGCAGTCTCGTTCTGGTATAAGTGATCTGTGAAAAGATAACAGTATTGTTGCGAGCCGGTGTGGACTCGACCTATCCTCACAATATGACCCGCCCTCGGATGACCTTAACATCGCATAGACACCGCAATGATTCATTCGTTCGAGAAGAATCGAGACCCACTAGAATGGACTAGTACATACGAGAACATTCGAAAACCTTCTCTATGCGCCTAACGATCTATGGACTATTCTAGATTTCTTTTGCTGTAGGTATAAAAGCCGGCGGCAGTGGCCTAGAGAGGGCAGTTATAAATACATATACAGTTGACGCGCTAAAATTCAAAATAAATTCTTAGTTATAAATCGTTTGTAAATAGTTCTATAAGTCTTTTATCTTTATTATTTTTGTTAATTAGTGTTAAATAAATAGTGTTTAAATAAATTGTGACTTTCTATCCACACGGAACCGACGAAAAACGTAACAGTATTTAATTGAAAGCAGTTGCATTATTTTTTATTATATTTTATTATTAAGAATTTAAGAAAATGTTTCTTTCTTTTTCACAAATAATTACATATTTAGTGCAGAATCAGTATTATGATCAGACAGTTTTGTCGGCTGCAAAATGAGGATCAGCCAATTCATTTCTTTCTGAGAAATTTTTCTTTGTTTGAGAAAATTCTACGATTTTGCTACCATTTTCAGTGTATTACTACATATTATATTCAATCCGGAACAATCAAAATCACCAAAAGAATGATATATTTCCCACTACTATTAATAAATTTAATTAATGAGGCAAACTTATAAGTTTTTTTTTTTGATAATAAGGATATCGGGATCCTCTTCAGCTTCTTGCGAATGAATATTTGCCGCATATAACTTTAGGGCATATCAGCCATTAATAACAAATAAAGGGTGTAGATAGTAGAAAAAGTGCAATTTTGAGCGGTCAGTCTAAAACTGTTAATTTTGCTGGCTCTTGACCCAAAACAGTTTGTTTAGAAATTTATAAAAACGAGAATTATAGAAAGAAGGATTATTTACAAAAAGTTGTTAGCTTTTGAGTTATAAAAATGCCACGAACAAATCCGATTTATATTTTTTTATTTAATTTTGTTTAATATTCTTTCACGAAAATTAATTCGCAAATCCCAGTTTCGGATAGAGCACTCAAAAAACATATAGAATAGAAGAAATCAAAACTATCCCAAAGCTTTCGTGCTAAGGATTTTTTTATCATAATTTCAGTATGTATAAGTAAACTATAATAGGATACATCTAGGATATAGTATAGTGTTTATAATGTTTAGTCAGATATTGTGATAAGTTTAGTCAGCTAATGTATTAATGTGGAAATTGACAGTACCGATTAATTATTGAACTGGATATTCGTTACTATTTGTTTAGATTACTGTTTTTAAATATTTTAGTTGCTGTCGTGGCGCCCCTCGTTTCCGGCGCCCCGCATCAGTATACTAGTATACTACTGAGCAAACGTTTCTCAATTCTTTTTATTGCTCATTACTACGTTGAGGTGTTTCTCAAAGTTGTAAAGGAGTTGGAAGAGTGGAATTTTCCTTTTGAGGGTGTTTAAAGTACCTTAAAAACTGACATAGTAATTTATATATAAATATAAAAAACACCACAATAATAAATAAAAGTATGTTTCTTTTTGTTTTTAACTACGATTTATTTAAAAGTAAGTTGTTTTTTGTATTCATTCATTTTTATTACTCGCTGACGAGTATTTGACACGCATGAAAAGATGGTTACGCAAGGCGTTTTCTTTCATGAGCTTTTCTGTGAGTGAAAAGCCCGATACGTGATGTATATGTCTGCCGCACTCCGGACATTCATAAATCTCATTGCTTTGTTGCCTCTTACTTTTTGGTTGTCGTTGTTAACTGAGTTTACAATTCTCCTCCATTGCGTTCTATTGTGCGCTGCTTCCTCCCACTGATGCTGCATACTCATCATACTTATCCCCTTCAAGTTTTCATGGAAAATATTCTTGTATCTTTTGAGTTATCTACCCGGTTTCCTCGTACCATCTATAAGCTCACCGTAAAGAAGAGATTTCGGTAGGCGGTTTTCTTGCATCCTGCATACGTGACGAATCCATCTTAAGCGGCATTTAGTAATCGTGACTTCAACGCCCTCGCACCTTGCTTTTTCAAGGACTGATACGTTTGAGACATGGTGGTACCACTAAATTGAGAGATTGTGAGACATTGTTTTTTGTATAACAGTTTCATATCAGACAATTTCTCTACAACATTATAACCAAAATAACACTAATTTATACTCCAGTACACCAAAACACTTTATTTTGAATACTGGAGCGCCAACAGCAGATTAAAATTTCAACTTGTGATTTTTTAATAATCTTTAATAATTAATAACAACATATTATTAAATATCTGTTAATTCTCTATAAACCCAACCCTAGTTGGTGTGCGAAATATTTATAAAGGAAGACGAGAAGATAAAAAAAGTCTTATCGAGTTCCTTGCCATCGATCACACGAGGGGACGATTATTATGATGGAAAAAACGACGCTCTTATCCAATTTCGCGACGACGACGCTTTTGTTTAAATAAAAACTATGATTAATTTGACGTCGCTGTGAAAGAGGATACCTGAAGGGAACAAAAATAAAGACTGTCTTTATTTGATGGTGATTTGAGTTTCCGAACAAAGTAGAGGGTACATATTTTTAACACGGTTTCCTTAGCTTACACTTTAGAGTAGGGTAGAGAGGTGGTGGTACTTCTTTTATCCTTATAGAATACAGTAATTTTCACAAATGGGAATTATAGCTAGTACTATTTTATGTAAAAAAGGTGCTCTTCGTTTAGTTCGAAACGGTGAACGGTTTTCAGGATATTTGCGTTTAAAGGTTTCAGTGCATAGATTTTAGTATTAGCGAAATCAGGAGATTAATTTGTTAAAATTTCTTTACGTTTTATCATTTCACTAATCGTGAAAAAATAAATTAACATCGTAACTTTTAAACGCTAATATCTCGAAAACCGTTCCACGTTTCAAACTAAACGAAGAGCACCTTTTTTAGGTAAATAAGTTTTAGCTTTTATGTCATTTATAGAAATTACTATAAAAGAAGTACCATCAGTAGTACTCTCTACCCTATTGGAAACTAACCCTTTCAGGGCTGTTACGGAATTTTACACTACCACCATTCCCTTTGGCATTAAAATGTGTGTAATACTACTAAATTTCAAGAAAAACGGTTTACCTGTGTGTTCTTAAAAATAAATAAAATATATTATTTTAATCTACGACAATGTCATTATGACACATTTAACATTGTCATTTGGATGTCATTATGGCTTTCATAATAGCACTAGTGCTATTATGATTTCATAATAACACGCAAATTTTAAAGTAAGAAACAAGCACAAAAAAGGTTCCTAAATACGTTTATTTATTGTAAATATTAATTATAATATCAGTACAATTGGTTAAATTAATTCCAGACGATGACAGGTGAGTTGAATTTTTAGAAAGTAAATTTATTTCCTGAGTGCTTGAACTTGTTGAAGACCCATCATTGCCAGAAATGTTACCCAAAATATTACATGACACTTTTCGTATTTTCTTTGGAATTTTCTATATAGCTCTCTGCCACTGTGTTAGAGCGCCAACCACCATGTCTTTTAACAGTTAATAAATCCACTCCTGAATCTGCAAGCAACGACGCAGACGATCTACGGAAACAATGTCCAGTGTATTGTTGTGGATTTGGAAGACTTAGGAACAATGCTATTTTATACGACATTTTCCAAAAAGAGTTATTCAATGGGCTCCCCAGGGCAGAAGAAGAAGAGGTAGACCTAGAAAATCCTGGAACGGAACGGTTACGGAAGCAATAGAAGCTCGTAACCTAGAAGCTGATGACGCTCTAAATCGAGATGTGTGGCGTAGGGTAACGGGAAGGCAGCAATAGGCTGTAGTTGGAAATGAGTATTAAATACTTAAACCAAATTCCGCTTATATAATAATGACATGAATGCATTGTCCTTCATCTTTAACATTTTGCAGCTGCTTTTGCAATCCTTCCCTTCCGGCTCCCGTAAGTCTCACTATCAATGAAAGTTTTGTCAGGAAATAAGTTTTATCATCAGCTTCCAACAAAAAACGAG